GTTGATGTTAAACTTGATGTTTTATGTTAGTTTAAGATAAAAATAAATTTTTTGTTTCTATAATTTCTAGGAAATATTTATATTGATGTTTTTTTTGTTTTTTAGTTAAACCAATTATAAAAATTTTATTTATGAAAAAGAATTAATAAAAAAAACATTAAATATTATTGAAAATACAATTGAAATAATTCATTGTAAAATATTATCAAATCCATCATTAATATCAAATATTGAATGGTTTAAAAATGATCAATTAATTCTTGGTAAGAAATTATCTTAAGTTTAAGTTTGATATGTTGAAAAAAAAATTGATTAATTGATATTTTCTTTTTTTATAATATATATATATATATAGAAGAATATCAAGAAGAATTACGAATAAATTTTACTAATATAGAAAATTTATCATGTCGAGCAAAAAATACAGTTGGACAAGCACATACACGTATTAATGTTAATATTCTTTGTAAGATATTTTTAAATAAATTGTTTTTTTTTTGTTCAAAAAATAAAAATAAATAAATAAATACTTATTTTTGTTTTTATTACCTAGATAAATCAAAATTATCTATGACTGAAAATATAACATTAAATCAAGGTGATAAATTACTTTTAAAATGTTTAAATAATGCAAATCCTTCATGTTAACAAATTAATTGGTTTCATAATTATAAAGAAACATTTAGTCAATCATGTCGACAACAACAACATATAGCTGAATATATAATAGAAAATATTGATCGTTCGCATGCTGGAATATATATATGTGAAGTTAAAAATTTATTAAATATAAGTCTTGATAAACAATATGATGGAATATCAAATATATCAACTGATGTTCGTATACAATGTAAGATATTATTTTCTAGAGAGAGAATTACATCAAATCATATAGTGAACATTTTTTCCAATGGACTATTTAAATTTTTCTAGTCTTATCAAAATTTTTTTTATGACATCAAACGGCAGTTCATATTTCAGAGTTGTTGTCTTGTTAATTAAAATTCATTTAATTTAATTAAATTTTATAAAGAATATTTTTATTTTATTTAGATGCACCATTCATATTAAATTCTTTTAATAAATTAGCAGTTAAAGAAAATTCTGATATAACAATAGAATGTTTTGTTGATTCTTATCCAAAAGCTGATATAATATGGTTTGGACCATTTGGTCAAAGATTAAATTCATTTACTAACGAAAAGGTTTACAATAGTACTGTTATATCATCTGAATTACATTGTAAGTTTAATTATTTTCTTGTGTTTTTTTTTGTGAAACACGATCTCAAAGAAATATTGAAGTGTATAGGGTAAAAATTTGGAACTCACTCCCCTCATCCACAGACCGTTACGGACTAATTAATTAATTAAACCAATTAATTAACCACCTAATTAATTAGCTAGCCAATTAACCGTCACATACTGTTACGGAAATTTTAATAAATTAATAAATTGACCGTTATAGACCATTACGGACAGGGTTTAGAAGCATAACAGAACGTGAGAGACAACCCTGAAATCCATCAAAGGGTGGCATAGACGTTATTGAAATAGGTTTAAAATCTTATATCGATAGACTATCATTACAATATGTGAACTACATGCTTACTGTAGTTCAAAAGCACTAAATACACGATTGGGAAGAAAAGATATCCTGAAACAATAAACAATAAACAATTTCTATTTGTTTATTAACAACAGCTTTATCGTGTTTCACATTTTTAATCCCACAGAGATTGCGCTAATTACTTTTCTTAATAAATTATTTTTTTAAAATTTTATTATATTACAGTACCAGCATCAAATTCATCAATACTTGGTGTATATCGATGTGTAGCAAAAAATAATTATGGTCAACATGATGACTTTTCTATACAATTTCAACGACCTGGTTTACCTGATCCACCAATCCAATTAGAAGCAATAAATATAACACATACTTCATTTATAATTAAATGGAAAGTCGGTTATAATGGTGGCTCAGATCAAATATATCATATTATTCTTAGTAATAATATTAATAATCATACTGAAGAAAAATCTACAAATTTAAATTTAATAAAATTTAAAGATTTAAATGAAAAAACTCGATATATGATAAAAATTCGTTCAAAAAATCATATTGGTTTTAGTGATTATTCAACTAATTTATTTATTACAACAAAAGAATCTCCTATTCGATTAGAAGAATTTCCTAATATTGAACAAGCTTATTATACAACACATGATTATCGTTTACATTTTCAAATAAGTTCTGTACGTTCAATATTAATATCACTTGATCAATTATGTATACAATATTATAATAATGATGATATATCAGCATGTATACCATTAACATCGATTCAATTAATTAATGATGGAATTACAATAAATATTGAACAAAAAAATTTACGTTTAAAATTATGTTTAATTAATCAAACAGATATATGTTCAAAATCAATTCCAATTTTAGCACATATTCAATTATCAAATCATCCATCAGATTTTATTTTAATGTTAATTGGTAAGAAGTTCTTTTATTATTATTATAAAGCACTATTACCATATTTGATAATTATCCTTAAAAACTGTCAATATTATTTTGCATTTAATAGCATATAGAATACCTTTTCAAATTTAAGGATAATAATCTAATTTAATAGGATTGTATTTGAAATAATTTTTTTTGTTTGTTAGGAGGTATATTAGGTTTTTGTATTGTATTCGGATTAATTATTTTATCAATTTATATTCATCAACGAAAATATAAAAAAAAATCTAAAAATGGTTCAACTGATACATTAAAAACAAATTCAGATAATTTTCATCCTATAGTACCAGTTCGTGTTCGTGATACAAATCCATGTCTTTATTATCCAAGAAATGAAAGTCGAACATTATATTATAATGATGAAACAATTGGTATTTATTCTATTCAAGGTATATAAAATAAAATAAAACAAAAAAAAAACAGTCAATCTTCCTTTCTACATGAATATTTTTTTTTTTAAAGAAAAAAAAAATTCAATTTGTTTTGATTCTGGTATGCCATCAATAACATCAAATAATTCAGATTCAATTGGTTCACAAGCATTATCATCATTAGATTTTTATGATCGTTCAGATGGAGAATATCTTGTTAATGGTAGAAGATCAATAAATAAAATTCTTTTATCAAATATATCAACATATACAACAAAAGATAATCATATGAATATTTCAATTAATGGAAGAATATCATCCGAAGAAGAAAGTGACATTTCTACATTGAGTAAATCTCAAAATGGAAAAAAACTTGTCTATGAAGTTGTGGTGTAAAATTGTTTTTCTTTTTCCTATATATTGTATTTCATTTATATTTCAATTTTTTTCTTTTATGTTTGTTTGTTTGTTTTGTGAAAATAAAAAAGATAATTGATTGTTGTTAAACAAGTCAAAATATGTTTTAAACTCTTAGATGATATCAACAATAGTGAAGAGTGATTATTTAAAACAGTGAAAACGTTTATGAAATGACATGTTATTACATGAGTTTTCAATGTAATGCATTAGCAATTTCTCTTGATTAAAATTTAATTTATTACTTCAAGATATGTTAAAGTTTTTACGTTATTTATGAAGGAATTTCATGGAATATCATTTTCCGTTTTGGAGGATTTCTTTGGCTTTGAACTGTAATTAGGATATCTCTTAGCGACTTCACGCAGAGTTGGAACTGGTACCGGTCTGACCGATCCAAACTGGTCTATATTTTTCACTTGCCCGCTCTATGATGGTAATCATATGAAACAACAACTGGCACCAAGACTAGTTCCACTGATGACACAGAAATTTATTTAAGAAAATATTTTCAAAATACCCATCAATGAGACTATTGTTATCAACGGGAAAACATTATGCCAGTATGCGTGAAAGTACGAAGGTAGCCTTTAAGAGAGTTCACTATGAAACAAGGCTTCATTTCAAGCCTTAGCCTGTTGTCTGTAGACCGATATTTTGTCGGTTTTTCTGTTATAAACTGACGTATCATCAGCATTCTGTTTAGTACCAGTAGGCTAGTTTTGCCCGGTAGACAGGTCAGATCAACTTTTTTCGGTAAATCGGTTTCGGTCGGCGAACCGGTCTGAAAACACTAGACCGGTCCCATCTCTGACTTCAGGCTTTCTGAAAACTCTTATTTTGATCTGAAACTTTCTACATCCAGAAAACTCAATGAATGAAGTCTCTTCGAGACTTGAGACTTTCATGATATATACCTTTTTTTTTGTGGATGATCTATACAACATACATTCTTAAAAGCTACCGATTTCGAAGAGGCTTTGTTCAAAATTTCTGAAATTTTTTATGGACCGTAGTCTATTAAAACTTCAATAGCTCAGTCAAATTTGAATAGGAATCCGAATCCTTTTAAGATTTTTATTAGAACACTATGAAGTATGATTAGATAAAATACTATTTGAAATTAACAGAAGATATCTGCAGAGTTTCCGTTGTCAGTGAGACTTAATCTAGAGAAACTTTCTAATAACATAAATTTTACTGTACTGATTTTCGACTATTGATGAAGATCTACTGCGAAAGTTAGTACATATTACCAAATAACAGTATATACATATTCAATAGATCATGCTACATCTACCACTTGATCATGATTTTTTTCATTTGATTAAATACATTCTTTGATCATTTCGAATCTTTCCATGTAATTGATTAAGTTTTTAGAATCCAAATGAAGTAGATACTACACACTCATTGACATTCTAGTCTGAAAATCCACCGTAATCAATATTTCTACATTCCAAATAAAATTCGTTGAGTGCAAAATTTTCGAAGCGCACTCGAGCGAGTCTAGGTTCTAGAACCTATTCTATCCAGATTCTTGCCTAAAAACAAAAGTAACGTTTTCCTTGTTGACAAGAAGCATGTAAACTGAAACTTTCTTGATGAGGTTAGAATTGTCTTGTCAGACAAGGCTTACTACTTTTTTTATTTTCATTATAAATCTTTAACAAAATATAGAGAAAAAAAAGAACACGATACAAGTACATTGTATTTCATGCAATCTTCAATGAACTATATAAAGCCGAAAAGAAAAATATTTACAATAATAAAAGAAAAAAAAACAATTTATAGTTGATCTTTAAATTTGAAGTATTCATCAATAACAGAAAAACAAAATAATAAAAATCATCTACTTAGATTAAATATATTCTTCTTCATATTCGTTACCTGAAGTCAATGTCGGCTCTAGTTGTCCTAAGTTTTGATCATGTTCTATTCAGAAACTTACTACAATTAACTACAGTTCGATTTACTAATGACCGAACACATTTGCTTTTTCTAGTCAACATATTAAGCTCCATATGAGAGTTGTCTTGAAAGTGACGCAAAAAACATTTTTTTTCTTTCCTATCGAAGAGAATCTGTAGAGAATTAGTCCATGAACATCAAGTCTTAAGCCAATTGACTCGATAGCAATACTTAACAAAAAAGAACAAACATTTTATACTCTTAAGATATCCTAGATCTATACATGTTTTCCTTTTTTTTCCTCTTACTTCTAGTTTTTCTTTAGTAATGACTTTTCTGGATTCTTTTCTCAAAAAAACTTCTATCGAACGACTTAATAAAGGAATACATATAAATACAGAAATAATGTTATAAATAAAAGACATCGAAAAAAAAAAAATCAAAATTTCTTTTTCATTAGTTTTTTTTTTGTAACAAATAAACATATAACTCATCTATTTCAATAAATGAGAATGGAAATAACAAAGAATATATTACAATTGAATCAGATTTTACATTATTTTCAATCATGAATCTATTATTAATGAATCTTTTTATATCCGAATGCAACAAAAAAAAAATGAGTTTTTATACTTTGTTCTTATTTAGGTTTCACGAGTAGATTTTAACAGGCTTCTTACCATCGAATATGATAAGCACATTCTTACATTACTATTGTAATTATATATGAAATTTAACAAAAAGAATTGTTCGAGTTCTTTATATAAACAATGTTCGTCATCTTTTTTTTTCTCATTTGGACAGAATAGTATATAAAATTTCTTGTTCGTTTCTATGTACAGCCAATATAGATCATTGCAACAACAAAAAAAAAAGAAAATTAAACAATAAGTTGTTCTTTTTCTGTTATTATATTTCGAATAAACAGATTCATGAATATTGAAATAAACAACAGGTTTTGTTTTTACTTAATCCATTTTGTTTTGATTAAGTAAATTTCTTTCTTTTTTGTATCTTAGCAATTCTGATCAATTTATTCCCCATCCGATTCTTGATGATTCCAAAAAGACAATGCGAATTATTGGTAAAACTATTTCAGTCATATTTCATATATATATATTTTTTTTTTTTTGTTTTTCTTTAGCTAATCCAGTTTATGATAAATTAACATTTTCACGTGCAGCTCAAATTCAAAAACATCATTCAGATAAATATTGTTGTAAATCAGCACAATTGACAAGACCAAAAAAAAACACAATACCTACATCAAACAAATCATTAAACAGTGAAGAAACATTAATAACGGTGAATTTGAAAATAAAAATGAAGAAAGATAAGAGAATTGACTTGAGTATGAATTTAATATGATAAAAAATTATATTCTATGAAAAAGAATTATTTTGATCTTGTTATTTTCTCATATTCGTAATTTAAAAACAGAAGAAAACAAAAATCATTAGTTTTATATTAATTAGTAGTCGGAATATTAATTACTTCTATTTATCTTAATATACAAAATTCAAAGTGAAATAAATAAAGATCATTTTAAAAAAGAATCAATGTGAGAAAACATAAAATTTTAATTTTGTAGAACAAAATATTTTATTTAACTATTAATGTTTTTAAAAGCCTATGCGATTGTACATAAGCTCTAATTTTTTAAGTTATTAACTAATTGTAATACTTTCTTTTGCAAATAATTGAATATTATTTTACAGTAATATTGATTTAAAACTATTCAAAAATATCAAATCATCACACATGCAGCAATTTTGAATAAACTCTTCTGACTCTAACTTTTAATAGTTTTTATATTATCGAAAAAATGAACTAACATTTCATCTTAAGAGACCTTCAATAATCATCTCACAGGAAGAAAAAATACGCTTATAAACAACTGTTTATGAACTCTGCATTTGTTAATCTATGATTTTTTATAACTCATTAAGGGCCGCCCTAAAAAAAAAGTCACTTCTCGTTAAAATTAAGATAAACACAGGAGAAGATAGCCCGTCATTGGATCTCTCATAAACAAAAAAAAAATTTTTATTCGGCACATTCTTTTTTCCAAAAATTTTTTAAGATTTCCTTCATTCCCTATTCTAAAAACAAGCTGTTTTTGAAGAAAAAAAACCGAAAATATTTTTCGATTTTTCTAATTTTATAGGTTCTCGATCGCATCTATAAGATTTCTCGAAGGAACTTCATTGTAGCCAATAGTTTTGTTTGAAAGAGCGTGTAAAACTGCAGTACCTATGAGAGGCAGTTTTTTTTTTTATTAAACTTTGCTTTAATTATATAATTAGAGCGCCATTTTTGAATCATTGAACTTTCGTTCCCTTTTTTTTTCTCTTAAAAAGTAAGAGTTTAAAAACAAAAGGGCTCTCATAGGCACTGCATTCTGACATACTCTTTCAAACAAAAAAGAGTATTAAATGTATAGAGGGAAGATCACAGAGAAATTTTGGAGACGAAATTAGCAATCTTTTAATCCTTGTTTGGCTAATATCTCCGTCAAACGTCATGTTACAGAGCTGAAAACTTTATCATAACCATGATTCATCAGTCCCAACATATCTTAAAAATTTCATAGCATTCGAATGTTCCTAGTCTGAGATCGAATTTTGAGAGAAGGAGGGCTTTGATATTTATTTTTTTTTATTTTAATGTAAATTTTATTTAGCCATTACCAACGAAAAATAATACTATGCGATTAAAATCTACACTTGCACGTCAAAAATCTTCACCCTTACAGCATCCAATATCGTCATCATCTAATGAACTATCTTCAATAAATATTGAATCATCATTAATAAAAGATGATAAAAAATTTACAAATGATAATTGTATAATTCGTTATAAAATTAGTCAACATGGTTTTGAAATACAACGTTATTCATCAAATAATTGGTTATCAATTGATATGTTAAGTAAAGATGCATGTCAATCAAATGAAAGAACATTTCGTGAAATGATTGAAAAAAAAGAACATGATGAACTTATATCTCATAGTATTTATACATCAGAATATTATTATAAACGCTGGTATAATTTATTAAAATCATATAAACAAAATAATTTAACACATTTACAATGGGCTAAACAAAATTATCAATTATATTGTTTAAAAACATATTATAAACGTGCATTTCAACGTGAACAATATCGTATTCAGTTAAATGCACAAAATCAACGTCGAAAATGTGCACAAAATGCATTTAATGAATGGAAAGAAAGTAAAAATGATGACTCTCTTGAACGTAGTCGAAGTCGTTTAACAACAGCTAATAGTCAAAATACAACAGAAATTATATCTGATATATCAAATCGTTCATTATCATCACATCATCATACAAATAATCAAATGTCAATATCACCAAGTACGTATAATGAACAAGAAGAATTATCACATTATCAACCAATTCATTCATCAAAATCAACTAAAAATACATTATATATGTTAGATAAACAACGATGGTCTTTAGATGCAATGCTTAAACGTATTGTTGGACTTGCTGAACCTTTACCACCACCACCAAAAATAATTAATTTTCATAATTCATCATTAATAAATCAAAGTACTGATAGTAATTTTGAATCATGTCCATGAAAAATATTTTGAAATAAATGTATTTTGTTTTTCTATAAATAATTGATATAGTTATAAATTAAAAAAAAATAGATATATAGACTTTTTTTTTCTTGACAATTAGAAAATTAAATTTTTAATATTTCTTATACGTTATCTTATTATCATATTAATTCTATATAGAATATAGAAAAGAATAATAAGAAAAAAAAATACAAAAATTATCAACCGTATTTACTTTTTATTATATTTCTAGAGAAAGATTATGTTATTTATAAAGGTTTATAGAACACACAAAAAGAAAAACAAAGCAACAAAAATAGATTAAAAGGTTTCTCATAACTCTTCAAAAATTTCTTTTGTACAAAATGTTATAATCTCTACAGACAACAAAAGCATGTTCTACCTTTCTATGACAAAGACTTGCAAATGCTCAAAAATATTTGCTCTAGTAAGAAATAACCATTCACAAGAGACAGAAACAAAGAAGAAACCTTTCTAACAAAAGTAACAATATAAATGTTAAAAAATGGTTAAATCTCAATAATTAGCAATTAATGAATAGAAAGTAAAGAGTTAGAAGCCAAAAATTTATTAGCATTCGTAACTAACGAATATGTTACGCATATATAATGGAAAACAAATCAAATTATTTTTTTTAGTTTCTTCACAAATTTCATTGTAAATCTTAATAATTAAGTACAAATGTAATACAATCGTTTATTGTGTTATTTTTTGTAAAATACGATTCAAAAAGGAATGTTGAAATATATAGAATAAAAATAGATATTTTAATTTCGTAGACTTCTCTAGATGTCCATAATTGACTTTTTTTTTTAATTCGATTTCATATATATCTAATAGATATTTATTGATATATAATAAAAAAAACCAACATTCAATAATGCAAACATTCAAAAAAAGAAATCATTAGAATCCTTTTCATAGTATTAAAATACTTAACAATAAGATTTGATGATTACTTTTCTAAATCAGTATTGATACCAATACAAAAATCAAGATTGATTAACTTTATTATTGTTTTATACATGTTTATATGATCTGTTGATTTGTAAAATAGTGATGTCTATCCAAATTGACAGACTCGTTCATTGTTTCGTTTCTTTTCACAGGATATACATATATACTAACAATATTAGTAAATGATCATGGTCACTTTCTTAATTTGTTGATTTCAATAGTAATCATATGATACGCTTCATAATCACTTGTATCTCTATCTACGACAATTGTTAACAATGAGATGACAAGGATACATTTAGTATCTATGGTTGATATGCATAAAGAACAAAAAAAAAGAGAAAGGCGAAAAGCAATTATGGATTTCATTATTAACTAACATTTATTGATGACTCAAAAAATGAAAAGCCAATAATAATGTAATTTGAAGATCATATTTATTCATGATTCTTGACATATTTAAACAAAAAGCAAAGAAAAAACCTGAAAATGAAACTAAACCTTACAAAAAAAAAATGAGAATGTGATTGATGATTTAATTTATTTTATATTCTAAAACAATTGACCATATTATTAGGTGCAAGTATAAATGTCATATTAAACCACGTCTTTTTTTTTTATGATATATACTTTCTATTGTCTTTTGTTATTTTATCATTAATGTAATAATTGTTTCTTTTTGTATTATAATATGGTTGATGCATTTTTTTTTCTTATCAATCTATGATGAAAAAAAAAAAAGTATCTAGTATAGATGTTCATTGATGAGATTGAAACAATGTATATAGTCTATAAGGATATTAAGTAAGAAAATGTCAATGTTCATTTAAATTTTTAGTTTTTTTTTTTTTTTCTAAAGTTATTTAATTAAATTTATTATAATATATTCAAAACAAAAAAATATATTATAATGATAAAATTATTTTGTATTTTTAATTTTTAGATTTTAATTTAAATGAAAACATCAAAATCTAAACGTATGATTTATAATAATAAATCATTACGTTTTCATATTATTCTTTTATATTTACTTATTATTATATTAGTATTATTATTTGGAATATGTTTTATTTATTTATCTCGTACAATTCAATTTCATAATAATGAATTAAAAATTATTAAACAAGATTTAAATGAATTAGAATCAGCACAAATAACAATATCAACATCTGTAAATGGACTTGATCCATTACAACGACAATCAAGACATACACGTATTAAATCACATCTATTAAATAAAGATGAATCAGATTTATTTTCTGGTTCAATTCATTTTAAAATGCCGGTAAGAATGCAAAAAAAAAAATTGAAATATATTAAAAAAATGATAATCATTTATATTATTTAATCATAGCCAATAGCAATGGCAACATTTTGTGTTCAATCAGTAGATCATTGCAAAAAATTAATTACAGAAAATGAAGGTAAATTAAATAAAATATTCTATTTGTTAGTAATGTGTACAAGCAACAAAAAAAATTTAAATTTCTAGAAAAATATTCTATGAATTTAATTAAAGTTGATATAATTAATGTGTTAGTTGTTATCAACTCGAATTTTAAATATGTTTTTTTTTGTTGATGAAAATATCTGAGTTTTTAATTCATCTAGAGTTAGATTCTTCTATTTTACAAATCGTTTTTCTAACATAAAAATTATTTCATATGTACAATTCGAGAATGAGAACAGTGAAAATTTATTAAACTTTCTGATTTTCTATAAACTTTGATAAACTTTTCAAATGGTATATTTATAGATTAATTTTAGAAAAAGAGAAAGAATTGATGATTATTTTCTTCCTTGAAATTTTGATTAAATTCAATAATATTCATAGAGAATTTAGTATAGATGAAGGATCATTTATTGGTAGACAAAAAAAGAAATAGTATTTCATATCTCTGTTTTGAAAATGACACAAAATACGAAAAAATTTGTAGGTATTTAAAAATGTTTTGAAATGATTGTATATATATATATTTAGAGTTAAGAGGTCCAAAAGGTGATCGAGGTGAACGTGGTTATCCAGGAATACCTGGTATTCAGGGTCCTATGGGACCACAAGGTAACATCAATTTTATAATATGTATACATATATTTCATTATCTATTTATATATCAAAGGACCATCAGGTGAAATGGGTCTTCCAGGACCAGCTGGTCCTCAAGGACCTAAAGGCGATCCTGGTACATCAATACGAGGTCCACAAGGTAGAAAATTAACTTAAACAATAAAGATTTACATTCATTAATTGTTTTTTAAAAAAAAGGTCCTCTAGGTCCAATAGGACCTCCTGGTTATCCAGGTCAACGTGGTGAAATGGGTCCACCAGGTCCACCTGTATGTCTAATACATTAAAATAATTATATTTGATATCAATCTTTAAATCATTAGGGAGTTTGTACATGTCCATCACAATCATCAACTTCAATATCAATATCATCAACATTAGATCAAAAACAAAGTTTCTATTTAGTTCATTAATTATCTTTTATTAATATAAATTTTTTTTTTTTTCTTCAAATTTTAGATTCATCTAGACGTGATGGTGGTAAGTAATATAAAGTCAAATGTTCTTATGTTTTGTTTTGTTTTTTTTTTCACGATTTTTATTAAAAATTAAATAGGTCATTTTCGTCGTGCACAACGTAAATAATTAATAATTCATTTTTTTTGTACAAAAAAAAAGAAAAAATTTATCTTATTTAGGATGTATCTTTTCATTTATTGGTACACCTGTTCTTGTTAAACAAGAAAATTATACATTTGGTGCTTGGTTTAAAGATCCAATGCCTAAAACTGCAAATGGTGCACAAAAAATTTATGTTACACATCATGTTACTGGTACATTATTATATGAATATAATAATGAAGATGATTTAATTAATAATAAACCAAATCGTATAATAACATTACCATATCCATATTCAGGTGTTAATCATATTGTTTATCAAGGAAATTTTATATATAATATTAAAAATAAAAATATTATTGTACGTATTGATCTTATATCAGAAATTGAAATACAAAGTATTGAATATCCTGTTAATCGTGAACCACTTTATAATACACCACAATCAAGTTGGTTTGATTTTTCAATAGATGAAAATGGTTTATGGTTATTATATCGTGAAATATATACAAAAAATTTTATTGCAACAAAAATTAATCCTGAAACATTAGAAAGTCAAAAAATATGGATATTACCATATAATCCATCAAGTTTAAGTCAAGCTTTTATTGCATATGGAATATTTTATGGTGTACAATATTATAATAAACAACAATCTTATATTGATATTGTTTATGATATTTATTCAAATATAGCATTTACAACAAAAAGAATTTATTTTACTATACCATATCAATATTTAGTACAATTTACTTATAATCCATATGAAAGTAAAATATTTGCATGGGATAATAAACATTTAATTTATTATGTTTATAATATTCAACGTGATAAAATATCAAAATGTTATAGATAATAATTAATATCCATAACAAACAATATGGAAATTTGATTTTGTCTTTTTTTTTAGATGTACTCCTGATGGAAAACTCTTTTTTTTTCATATGTAAATAAAAAAAAAACTTCGTGTATCTATGTCTTTTTCTTTTTTTGTTTATCATTATCGTCATGCATGAATGTGAAAAATAATATGAATATATATATATGTATGCATATATGAACTTGAAAACGTGAGAGAAAAACCTTCAGTGCATTATAACTGACTGTAACCTTTGTTTGAAGGTCTCTTTTTAAGATGGCGATAAATAATTAATACATGATGAAATCATGTTTGTTGATCGATGGTAAGATATTCGTACAAATAGAAAAAGAAACATAATTACATGTATTTTAGAGGAGAAAAAAAGAAAAGGAAATCTTTTTAAGAATAATAGTATGTACTTAATCGATTATTTTCTAATTTTATTTGACAAGTATCAATTATTTAGTAATTGATCTTTATTTTGTATATAAGTATAAAAAATTGTAAATTAATGAAATAAAATTAAGAGAATTTTTTCTTTCATTGTTCTATATATTGAATTATTATTATTATTTTTTTTTTCGTTTGTTCTAAAATGTTCATATGAATGTAATTAATATACAAGAAGAATTTTTTTTTTCTTTCGTAATTTGTCAATTTTATTATTCTTAAACTAGATGTGATAACATGTAAACATAAGAGAATAATTTATATTCATGCTTTTTTGTTTTGATACATTTATTTCAAAATGAAGGTTGATTGACGAAGGTCTTATTTTCTTCTTTTTATACATTAGTATTACTTTCTTCATTGATTTCATTAGTTAACATACATAAAGCCAATATGCTCGGTTGTGGATTTCCTTCATTTTCATTACCATTATGTTCTCAATCGATGATGTCTCCATGTAATATGTCCATTGGACAGGCTTCTGCTAATCCTTTTTCACTAGCACAACCTTGTCTTCAAAACTTTGTACAGCCTGGTAGTATGATGGTTCCTTGTGCAGCTCAGCCTGCAATGGTTCCAACAGCTGTGCCAGTACCAATGCCCGTAGCAATAGAGCGTCCATGTGCTATACCTTTTCTACAACCAGTACCGGTACCAGTAGAACGTCCATGTGCAGTACCTGTTCCTGTTCCAGTAGTACCGGCTATGGATGGATGCCAATTGCATCAATGTCAGACATATACGGTATGCTATCAATGAGTTTTATATTCAAATATTTCATACAACTTAACTAATGAAATGGATAGAATATTTCAAAATTTTTTGAATCTAGGAATGTCGTAAATGTCCATCATATCGTCAAGTAGAATATATTATTGAAGAACCTGTATATATACGACGTTGTCGACGACGACGATATCGATGTCGATCATATTGTTGTTCTCAAACTCCTTTAGCACCTATTATTATTCCAATACAAGCACCGGCAGTTGTTGCACAACAACCTCCACTTCAAGTTAAAGAATATGTTCAAGATATTTATCCACCTGCACAAGTTTATTCTGAACAAGTACCTGTAGTATGTTTATTACTTATAAAAATAGTAAAAAATTAAAAAATTCATTATTTCATATTAATTTAAGGGTTATGCAATTCAAAATGTTGCAATTCAACAACCAAATATAATTTAAAATCAAGGAACAGCAATTAATTGTCAACCAGGCATTGTTTTATCTTCAACATGAATAAATTAATATATTTGAAAAAAATAAAATTACCTAATGGTCAACTAGTTTAAATGGTAATTTTTCAACAATTTAATGTTTTTTTTTCGTCCAATTTAAGTATTCTAATAAAATATTCTTCAGTTTAATACATAATTTATTTCATAAGTTTTGTTTATTTATTTTTTTCTTTTTTTTTTTTGATTGTTAAAAAGATATGAAAGAAAAATATAAAATAAATTTAATATGGCATTTTAGGTAAATGAAAACGTGGAATGACTTCAGGATACGCTTTGGCGTTGAATGTAGGCACTAAACAAATGAATTTATATAGAAAAAAAAAGAAAACGTTTTTTGTAAAGTTAAATAATAATTAGTTTTTACATATTCCATTTGGTGGATTTTTATCAGGTGCATAAGCATGACGACCATGTCGATTTTCTTCAATATGTTTCAAATGTTCTATACTTTTAACAGTAGGATTTTGATATTCACGTTGAGTTTCTGTATTTGTAATGTAATTAGGTGGTGTTGAATGGCCTGTAACTAAAAAAATTTATTCATAGATACACATATGAATTAATATTTATATTTATTCTATTAGAAAAGATTTTAGTTACCTAATTGATTAAGAATTGCTGCTTCTTCTCGTAATATACTAGACGTCCAATTTTGTTTTACTAGCAAAAATAAAAGTCAAGAGTTTTATGTCAATCAGCAAAAATGATCTTCATACATAAAAAATGATTGAATTCGGCTGGTTGTTCATAAGCATAATGTTCCATATTTGGATAATCAACACTACCCATATTTAGTATTAGTAATCGTGTCACTGACAACTATGTCTGTATTCTATCAAAACTGAACTATTTTATTTTTCTGATTGATGTGTTTAGAAACAAACTGAATAATTCCATTAAAACATCATGATGATTTTTCTTTTTCTTTGAGTTGTTGTATAACTCTGTTTTTTTTTTGTTTGTAAAAAGAAAAACTTGTAACACTTAGCCGTTTTGTTTACAATCAATAAATTGTTATGATTAGATTCAGTATTGAATCGAATAATTGTTTTGATTTTTTTTTTTAATTCAATGAATTGTAATAATAATTTGAAAGAAACTTTTACAAAATGCTCGAAAAAAATAAAATTGAACTTTTCAATCAATTATTTGCATCGGATTTTTCTTCACAAAACAAGCTTTTGAATGCAGAGTACCAATGCATTATAGTATTTTTACAACTTGATAAGCAATCTAATAAAATATATAAACAAAAGCTTTTGCTTTACATTTATTATACTTCATAAAAATATCTCGTAGTAATTAAAATTTTTTCTATTGATAAAAGAAGCAGTACCCATCTGGTTACTGTTAACCTTCGCACCTGCGAGCTGCCGACAATTCTCTTTTTCCTTTTATTTTTTGCTTTATTAGATTATCAACATAGATGCCAAGTAATAGCGTGAAACTAAACGAATAGATGCAAAAAAAAAAAAAGAGAAGGGTCGAAGAAGAAAGAAGAGGAAACAACAGAGAGTATCGAATGGAAAACGTTTTCTTCAGCACATGTGTGTAATACATTCCGTTATAAGACTTATGCCGTCTGTCTGTTTTCTCTCTGTCTCTCTTCTTTAGTGAACATGTGTTGCAAGCAATCATCATGCGAATCAACTAGTCAATGATGACGGCTGCTGTATATATATATATATATGTATGCTAGGTGGCTTGAGAGAGAGAGAGAGAGAAAGAATGGAATAAATAATGGCAGTAACAGCAGCTACCCATACGGATGTTGTAGATGACGGAAAAAGAAATGTGTATGCATTTATAATACAAGCTGTGAAAGATATATCATCGATCGAACTTTGAACAAACTAAAAGTATATATATATATTTTTTTTTTTAAATAAATAATTATTTCTTTTGTTTTTGTTTTCTTTTTTTTTGGTTAAATAATGTTTAAACTTAAACCAATTGAAATTGATAGTAATCATGTTGTAATTAATACAAATACAATAACAACATCAATATTACAATCAAATCCAATAAAACGTTCTCGAAAATCCGCACATCCATCAAAAACTATTCAAACAACAATTGATTCATCATTTATAAAACAATTAATAAAACCTACATCAAATATTCAAATTGAAGAATTAACAAATGATGAATCATCATTAAATTTATTACAACTTAATAATATTGATGAACAAGAAAATAATGATGATGATGATGATATAAGTGATGAAGATACTTCTATTAATTATCAAAATCAAACATCAAAACGACCACGTTTAACTTATAATAAACGTTTAGAAGCAAATGCACGTGAACGTGAACGTGTTCATAATTTAACAGCAGCATTTGAATCATTACGTCAAGTTATACCAATGTATAGTGATCAACCAAAATTAAGTCGTCTTTCAATATTACGTATTGCTTGTTCATATGTTCTTGTACTTGGTTCATTAAATGAAATTGATTTTAGTCAAGAACAAAATGCTTATACATTTAATGAATCTTTTCATATGTTATCAAGTACAATATTAAATGAACTTAAAAGAAAAAAAATCAAATAAATAATAATTATTATTATTATTATTAAAAAAAAAGTATTTTGTAAAGAACAGATAAAATATTGTTTATATTTAGCAAAACAAATATTAAAATTTCTATTACTAATGAATAAATAAAAGTTTATATTCAAAAGTTTTCAACATTCACAAAATTTCTTTATGAAAATTTGTAAAAAATCCTGCATGCAGAAAATAACATGAGTTTTTGAAGCAATCGACTACAATTCTAACTTGTGTCCAATATATACTCTTGAAAAGAGTTTGTGTATTTAGTTTATTGCTATGAAGATATTGTACTTTTACAATATTTTTCAAATGAATGTCGAGATTCATCTAAGAGTTTCAAATCAAAAACCAATCTTTCGGTTATCACCATGCAAAACATCCAAAGTTCAAAATAAACTCGTATGAGCGACCTCTCTTTGATTTTTCTTTTTCATTATTCGTTATGATTTGAATATCTTTGTTTAATTTCAATACGTCTATCTTTCATATATATGAATCTCTTGTTAAATCTTCAATATGATGAATACAATAATAGATAAATTTAATATTGAATGTATTACTTATTTAAATAGTCGTTTATTTGAAATATTATCAATATTAATTGATAAAAAAATATTTGAACATTATTTAAATGAATATAAACAATGTTTAGATGAACAAATGAATTTTATTCATTATATTAATGAACAAATTGAATCATTAAATTTTTTAAAATTTTATGAAATTTCTATTGATAAATTTCTTGAACGTTTAAAATTTATACATGAATATGAATTAAAACAAAATGAAATATTTGAACAAATTTTACATGAATTAACTAATATAGTAAAATAAATATATATATATATCTTTCAAATTCTATAAAAATTATTCTTTTTCATTCGTAGAATTCTTCAAATAAAGAAAAACGTCAACAACTTCTAGAAAAAATTGATGAACTTATTACTTATAAAATTAAATTGATCAACACTGATAAAACAATAAATGATACATTCAAAAAATATTCATAATAACTATAGTTAGATCATAATTTTTATTGTAATATATCAATAATTTACCTAACAGATAATAATATACATATATGCTGTCAGATAATACTTTCTTTTTTTTTCTTTGGTTAATATATTCATTGATAATAATATCGAATAATTTTTCTCAATCAGAGCTGAGTAATTCAAAATTTACTTCTAATATCTTGAAAATATGATCATCTATTTATATATAGAAGTACTTCGATATATAATAATAAGAAAAGTTTAATTTAAAAACCAAGCATTATAACTTCACATATTCATTTAAACAATAGAATAAAACTCTTTTGAAAGTTCTCGAAAAAGAAGTTCCGGTTTTGTTTCTGACAAAAAAGAAAAATACATATTGTTCAACTAGCAAGTGACGGAAGTCATAAAAAAGAAATCATATCGTTTATAAAAGATTAGATCTCTAGGTTATTACCTCAATTCCGATTTTTGTGTACTCAAAAAGTGAGTACACTATAGAATCGGTCAGTGTGTCCGGCCGGCCGTTTACACGATAACTTTCGAAAGGAGAGTCAGATCGTAATGAAATTTTCTACACAGTTCAGTCTCATCAATGTCTCGGTCGAGTTCGAAGATGAGAAGGATCCGTCAAGAAATGGCTGAGTTATCGAAAAAATTGGCATTATTGACCAGACCATCCCTGAGGGAGGGTACAGGGATTTTTTCAAAAAAAAAAAGTTTTTCTCAGAATTATTCACAACATATATAAATCGACTCAGTTTTTAACGCTGATTCCGAATCTGATATTAGTTTTGAACCAAATTGTAGCTTTCTAACAAAACATCGCCTGAAAAAGGTCTCAAAATGCACAAAAACTGCATCCAGAAAGCAAATTGCCTAGATATGTCTCAGATGATAAAAAACAAAGTGAATATACCTGTTCACTTTTTGAAGTACACATAACACTCGGATTTAAATCCGAGGTTTTCACATTTTTCTAATGAAAGTTGACGTTTTTTTGAGTGAAAAGAAGCGGTTAATTGATATTAAGAAATTCTAAATATTTTATAGACGTCATAAATATTTATTTCTTAAAAAAAATAGAGAACTTATATGACCTATTTTTAAGACATAGTATACTATTGTATAACTTTATGTCTAATTATATCTCTTATAATAAACAAATCTCAATTAAATTTTCTAAGAATCTTATTATTAAATTATTTTCTTTAATATAAGCAAAAAAACAAAATTGATATTATTTTGTAAAAGAAGAATTTTCATAGTTTTTTTTATTGTTTCCGGTAGTTTTCTCTTACAAACAGTCACGTTCATCATTAATAATTACATACTTAATAGTTTAGTTTATATATATTTTTTTTCTCATTCAAATTTTCATTATTGTCAACAGATTTTGTTCCCTGAAGAAAAAAATAAAACATATCAATTTTTAAATAACAAACAATATGATAGTTTACTCTAGGCAAAATTTTGTAAGAAATCATTTTAAAATGACTAAGATCTTGTTCTTCTCATTGAAAATATCTTTTTATTTTTTTTTCATGATAGTTTTAACTAAATCATTTGAAACTTTTTTTTATATAAAGTTTATAAGATACGACAAGATTTCGAATCACAACATTAAATGAAATCAAGTTAGCACTACAATATAGATTTACTATCATAAAATGTGATAATTACTAACACCTTGTCGATGTGTTATCACTTTTAGTATATTTGAACTGATCGATAACAATGAGTTAGTTTTTTTTACGATCAAGATTTATCATTGTATATAAATTATTTTCTCGAATATGATCAAAAAAATATCCTATGTAGATATATTATTGATTAATTATTGATTAGTACGTGACTTTTTATATATATCATCTCAAGTATGTAAAAACGACAGTAGATAGTGAAAAAAAATATGATAGTCTATTATCTATCAATTATAGGATTGTATGTTTAATATAGAAATGTATTCTCATTGGAATAGATTGAATTGTTTGCTTCTTCTTAATTAGTGTTTTATTCAGATTTTTTTTTAGAAAAAACGGTTTAAAACTTTGAGAACACAAACCTATACTATGTGTCAAAATAACTACTTAATCTTTAAAGAAATGCCGCCTTTTTTTTTGATTCCCATGTTGAATAAAACACAGATCTAAATTTTGTTCTGTTCAATATCTATATATATTAACAATAATATTCTATTCTACGTGAGAAAAAGAATCAGGCAAAAAAAAAAACTAAAAACCGAACTACAATTGCTTGAGAGAAATATGCTTGTAGAGCCTTCGTCGTTTATTATGAGAAATAGAAGAAAAAAAAAAACTGTTAGTTGCAAGAAACATATCTCTCTCTCTCTCTCTTTTACTATCGACATTCAGCTAATAATCAATGACTCAATTTTTCTACATGACTGCAGTTGATGACAGGAGATGGAAAGGATATACTGAAAGTCGGAGAGGGGGGAAAAAAAACGAAGTTCTCATCAAACATAGACTCTGAGAATAAAAAAAGAAAATGAGGAAATAAAGCATTGATGAAAGAGAATGTCTCACTATTCAAGAATATATATATATATATGATAAAAGCAAGAATAGAAAAAAAAAAAAGAAGAGAGAGATGTTGATGAAGATGACTCGTTGAGCAAGAAAAGAAAAAGGAGAAATAATATCTGTAATTTTTTTTTTTTTTTTAAAGAACAAGATTCACTATCATTTCGCATTCTATAAAACATTTTTTTTTTATTAATAAGTCACCAAGCATGTAAGTGTTGTTATCTATCTATATATATAAACAAAAGAATGATTTTCTTATATAGAATTTCTTTTCTTATTACTATATAATGCTATTAAATATTGACTTTTGGGAATATTTAATTGCAATTATATTATATTTTTTACTTTTTATTAAACCAATATCATGTCAAGGTATATCTTGTTATAAATGTATGACAATTGATTCAAATAATGATGCTTGTCAAGATCCATTTTCATCATTACTTAATCCTATTCATAATAATTGTCAGGTAGATATGTTTATTTTTGAAAAATGTCACTATAGAATAATCTTATTGATGATAGATAAAAACAAAAAAAAAAAAGTAAAATCCTTTCATTAGTAGATATATTTATGTCGAAATCAACTAAATATTTCACTAATAAATCATATTTAATATCAAAAATCTATCAGTATATATGATTATTTTATTTTGAAATTTGATAAGATCTCTACAAAGTCATTTTGTTTTTTGTTAAAAGGAAATTTTCTCGAGTGTGATCTTACTGAAAATTTTATCACCTTACTAAATTAATACTCAATTGAAAGAGTGTAATATTTTTGCATATATATTAATGTTAAAAGAGTTTATTCTGATTTTAATAAAGACTTTTAATATTTGTTATATATATATATATATTCAGGCTACATCTATGGGCAAAAATGGAACATTTTCAGCTCGATTTTGTGTAAAAATTAGTGGTCGTGTAACGAGTGTTGATGGTGGTGCAAATATATCTTATTTAAATATGAATTTTTATTATCGTACATGTATTGTTGATAATATAATGGAATCAACAAAATCATTAGAAACATCAGGCAGTTTTCGTTTAAAAGGTTTTCAAGATATGTCTGGTTCTATTCGTTTGCAAGGTCATATATCACTTTGTACACATGATGGATGTAATCATGGAAAAATATTATGTTCATCATCATTATTAATTATTATACTTGATTTGTTGTTAATTATTTATGTTAGTCATTTTTTATAAATAAACAATATCAATATATAAGAGTATGTTAAACTTGAATATAAGATTAAAATATTTTTAATTAATTAAAAATGAAAGGAGAATATAATTAGAAATCTTAATATGAGATCATTATTTTAGATGGATTCATAGAAGATTATTTATTATATGTTTTTAATGATTATAACCATAGATCAAACAAAACCGATAAAGCAATATCTAATTTGAATTATTATATTTTCCATATATATATATATGATTCATGTATCTTCATACAAGTAGAATTTTTATCATCTTTTATTTGAATTTCTAACAATTTCATAGAATTATTAAAGGAAATCTAATCTATTAGATTCGTTTTCTTCAATTACAGATATGTTATAACAATAAATAATTCATTACTATCCGAAGATATAAGAAAAATCAATACAAGACAAATATTATTTAAATGAGAAGAACATACAAAATATTCAACGAGAAATTGTTTTTTTTTTGATGAATTGATAACATTAATAAAATTATCAAGAATTAAATCTTTCCTTCATATCATATTTGACAAGTCTAGTATCCAAGCATAAATATTGAATTTCATTATTAGTAAGTAAAATAAAAATTTACATAATATGTAAGAAGAAATTCTTTCTATCATTGGCTATTAAACTGCATGGTTAATGATCATTATTAAATATTTTCGTTGTAGTTACCATAGGTTTTGTTAAAGATATAATATTGATTCATAATTTTTAAAAGAAAAAACGATAAATATATTGTACTAGATTGACACAACTTTTCATCTATTATTCATTCAAATATAAGTTGTAAGATATGCTTATGAAAAATTAAACGATACTAATCAGCTTTTCTTTTGTTTTCAAAATATGTTCCGAACACGAAAAAATTTCAAAGAATAATACAAAGTATATGTTTTGCTATTAGCATTTCTTTAATAAGAATAGATTTAATTCTATGTAATATTTTTGTTAAATTCAAGCGAGAAATTTTGCTAAAAATAAACTGTATCCGTCACCATTATGACTATTGACAAGAATAATTTCTTTAAATATTTCCCATGGTCATGTATTAATTGCAAAGGGAAAGTGTTAATATGTGAGAGTCAAGGGGGAAAAAGCTGATCCTATGGCGATAGAATCATCGGAATCACTCAGAATCACCTAGAATCACTCAGAATCACGTGGAATCACTCGGAATAAAATATCTAAGAAATGCATGCCTGTGCTTCTTATCATGCTTGATCGAATACATTTCATCGATTAGAAGCAGTTAATTGGCTTTTGGCAGCTTTTCACCGAGTAGTAGAATCAATTTCATCATTTTACAACAAAGAAGCAGATTTTGTTAAACTCCTATATACTTTCGAAGAAAATATACACGTTTGTAGGTTTAAATCGAGGTTTTTGCAACTTCCTCTTCGCTCTAGCAATGGCGAGTGAGAAGGGGAGAACAAACTCAAAGATTATTGGGTAGGTTTCTATAGTATAGAGAAAAGGCACGTAAACAATAACGATGGTTATATTATTCTAAAACTCTTTACACCCTAACTACGTAGTCTAAATATGGCATGTTTTGGTATTTAATGCAGCGAAAGGGTGTTAACGTGGGTGACATTCAGTAGATCGATGCTATTATTCATTTCATAGAGTAAGAATAGGATGAGCACCATGTAAAAATATGAAATAGTTGAATTCCAAATTTAGAAAAAACTCAACTTATATCTCATAATTTGTCAAAACAAGTAATATTGTGTCAGACTCTTACTAAATGATCAAATTAACGTATATAGCAAGTTAATATGGTAGTCAAATAGACGATTGAAAGAAAAAAAATGATATTTACACTTCATATAACATGTGTCGCATATTATCATTGGAAGAAAAGAATTGATGCATTGAAGATGTACTGCATTTCACAATAGAAAAAACGTTTTCAGTCTAACAATATTAAATGAATCTAATAAATTGCTCGAATAATAATGATACATGGATACATTTTCGACATGATTAAATGTAAGAGCACGCGTATCAGCTATAAAAAGTTGTAACCGTTTTGGATGATTTATTTGTTAAGTTATTTGGAGCCCTTTCATATTTTATCTCAAGTATACAACAAATAGAGTTTCTGAATGCCACATTTTCACTCCTCAAGAGACCAAAGCGATAAGCTTTCGGACAGATTTTACCATATCAACCAGATTATCTAACAATTTTCTGGTACATAATCAGGTTCCCAAGCAGTTTTCAATTGATTGAGCCCAGAACGATTCTTCGACTTTTCAAAGTCAATGAAATGAATCTGATTTTCCAAGTCAGAACACCTAGAAAACTTGACTGGCTGTTGGAAGCAGCGACATGAGTCTAATTGGCACGTTAGAAACTGCTCTAAAATAGGGGTGATCCTTTATCTTTAATTTCCTTTATACTAAAGGATAAAGATAAATGATTTACTTATCGCTATTTTCTAAAGATAAAGGATTCATTTATCTTTGCTTAGTAAAGTAAGACTAAACGACCACTCATATTCTATAGCCGATTAAGATATCAATATTCTTCGATGCACCTTGCGCCAAAACTCTTACAATTGTAAATTTCTATCGTCATTGATAATGAGGAAATGAGAAAGTTTTCGACCTATGCGATTTCTCTTGTTTCACACTTTACGTAGATTGGTGTTTTCGACATCTTTATTTCGAATAAAAAATTAGCCGAAATGAAAGAGATCAATGCACTTTAGTTACAATCAAAATTTGACTTTGTTTTGCGATTTCTTGAAAACACGATGCTGTAGTGAATTTTCTAATTTAGCAATCGTAGAATCAATCGGGTCCTATCTATCGATTTTCAAAACTCATTAATTACAATGCCATCGGATTCTTTTGGGTTCAGAAAAACGTATATTTTAGTAGCATCTCAAAGAAGCCAATTAGTGCCAGACAAAGTACAGCTAGACAGTAAGAAATAGTGAATCACGAAGAATCGACAGCTTCTGTTTCTACAAGGACCTATGGTAGGCGTGAAGGGCTCTCTTTTACAACTAAAAAGGAAGAACGGATGTCTTTTTTAATCCAACTGGTTAAGCTATCTTTTGTTGCGTTCTGTTGACACTCAATGGCTATATGTTACTTAGCCGCGCTCGTAAGTCATAAGATCGGGTTCTCAGGATGATGCATCAGCCGAGAGCCAGTACAAAACCATCCTTCTATATTCATGTCTTTGTGTTCTGTGTAGACAAGCTGTAGAACATCGTGCGCGATGCTCTTAGTATGATAGACAGCATATTGCACACAGAACGTTCTCTCCATACACACAACAAGAAATGTATGCAGTTTTTAGCCTAACTGATACGACGTCAACGCGAATGGCCGGAAATACACAGTTTCAGTCCCATAGAGTAGTTTTTTTTATATCCTTCGTTATGCTGTTGTTCCATCGCAGTACTTTGTCCGTCTTGAGAGTCACAAATAATGATGTCTGAACGGAGTCTATACAATATCGTGTGATTCTCAACTTTTTAGGAAAGATTGGTGCTACTATGCACAAAGCGACTATCTTTTGCGTTTGATGCAGAAAGCAAAATGAAAACTTAAGTCAGCTACTTGAGCGCTCAGACTGCTTTATACTTTTTGAAGTTTACTCTCTTTATGATCCTTCACTTCTTGATGTTTGAGGACTCCTCTCTCCATACCATCGAACTTTCACAAACTGTATATATTAACTATGAGCTTCGGTTTCGAAATCAAGGCAACAGTGGTAATCAGGATGGAAAATAATGAAAACTTGAGAAACAACAGTAATCCAATTTCTTTCACGACTTAATGTTGATTCCAACCAAATCTAACATTTTGAGATAATTGTCGGGCGAGAAAGCTCGCTTGCGGTCTGTAATCCTTTGAGTAGTTATGGTAAAACAATGAAACCAGTTTCACTGGTTCATTGGTCGGTTAGATATCGTCCCAATATATGATTTGATTGTTGTGAAATGAGAACTGACGTGATTTTGGCTGAGATTCAGCAATAGACAGATTATATCTCTTGTGCTCGACTCACTGATTCTTACGATCATGAGTGAGCTGCTTCCCCTATTGAATGGAATGATCGGGAATCTTCAGAATTCATCTCTGTAATGATTCTATAATGTTCCTATTGATATTACGACATCATAGTCGAGAAATACAATGATATTCATAGTGATTCTAGACCCGATGGAATCACACAGAATCATAAGAATCAATGGAATCACACGGAATCACATGGAATCAACGAAATCAACGGAATTATATAGAATCAATAGAATCAATAGAATCACATAGAAATCACATGGAATCACATAGAATCAGTAGAATCACGGAATCAGCTTTTTCCCCCTTGGTGAGAGTCGATATAGATGTAATCATTGGTGATGTCTTTTTCAACACCCCATCCATTCACATCCATGTCGAACTTACGCATGCTATCGAGTTTGTTCTCGAACGAGTTTTGGTGGTTAAAAATGTGCATTATTGTTGTAGTATTTTTTGAAAAATTAATCGAATAAATTGTGCAACGATATTACTTTCTGAGTTCTTTGACATTCTTTTCTCGATTTTATGATGCTTTCAAGAAAAAAATATTTGTTTTAAGATAGATTTAGAAATTTGCAGCAATCTCTTAACTTCAAAGTTCTTTAAAAAACTGAAACGGATTGGGTTATTTATTTTTCAACGAAGTTAATTTTCGACGTATTGATTGAAGACTGTTTATAAATTCTTGTGTTTGTGGGTGATTATCTGTAAGGGCCTTTCTGGATATATCGACCGCTTGGGCAGCATACGGAATTGCTTTTTCATACAATCCTTGACCGACAAGTACTCGTGCAATATTATTGATTGTGATCGCCATAGATGGATGCTGTGATGGCAACGACGTTGATTTGATCTCGAAAGCCTTAATAAATGAATCATATGCACCTGTATAATCTCCTTTTACATATAAGACAGCACCAATATTGCTGTATGATTGAGCAATGTGATCATGAGTTGCTGGTAGACATTGCATTCGTAATTTCAAGGCCTGCTCATAATGTTGTTTTGCTTCATCAAAATGTTTTTGTTTGTAATAGACGGTACCGAGATTATTGAATCGGGTGGCACAATTTTGTAAAGACGGATTTGTGTTACGGTCGAGTTCAAGTGCATGATGCAAATGCTCGTGAGCCTTCTCATATTGGCCTAATTCTCCGTAGACCAGTCCAAGGTTGCTATAGCATTGAGCAGTGTCAGGATGATCCATCATGGATTTCTGAAAATATTTGAGTGCTTCAGAATACAAGCGCTCATCCATAGAGATTGTTCCAAGATCACTATAGAGTTGCGCTATATCAGCCGGATTGCTCATGACCTCGTTCATCAAGATTCGATAGAAATACTTGGCCTTATCGTATTGCCCTAGGGTTTTCATTAGTCTACCCAACGTAAACAGAGGTTGTGGTCCTTGAAGTTCTGCTCGCATATGTTCAGTTAATTGATGTAGCTGTATGTCATCAACAGCGTTCAATACTAACTTTACCTCCCATATACCATTAGAAAGTTTCTCGATGTTATGAATGCGAAACATAGTTCCCATCGAAAAGAGTATCTCTTTTTCACCTTTCACCTCACTCAACTGTTGAATGTCTGCAAAAGGGCTACGGCACTGTTCGATGTCAATCATCATATTGAATAGAACAGACTGTATACCTGGCTGCTTAAGTTTCTGTGAAGCAAAAGCCAATGCAACTCGTCGTTCTGTACTTGTCGACAAAAATGTATTAAACGATATGAGTCCATCAATATTTTGTTGAATTTGTTCGAATGTATCATCTGGCAGACTGACACCTCGATAGACAGTGATACATTTTGATGAGAGTGTTTTTATATAGTCTGAATGGAGTGTTTCTAATTGTTGATGTAAATCCTTGATGAAAAAACGCATTTTGTACATTATGTCAACATCTTGTGTGAATAGTGCTTGATTAAGCATTCTATACATAAACGTTGGTCTCGTATACCACCAGATGGCACGTTCTGCAGTGTATTCAACGTCAAGCTCGTCAACATAAGTTAATTCGAGAGAATCATTGGCATATCGTTTACAACATTCGATGATCAGCTCGCGACGAATATCACTGTTTGAAGTGTCCATTGATACAAGAATTTCGCGTAGAAGTCGAACATACATAAACGAAGGATCTTGATAAATCTTTGAGCCAATATTATTTTGCGTAACTTTTGGTGACTGAGGCACGACGGCAATGACAACAGGTTCATTTGATCTTTCATTTTGTTGTTCTCTATTCTATCAAATCAAAAGAGTTTACATTTTCAAAGAATAAATCTTCATGCTCTGAATTTAAATGAAAGATTGAAAAAAAACAATCTGACTATCAATAATTCTATCCAAAATAACAAACAAGTAACGCGTCGATCTCTTGAGCCCCGCTTAACTCAATAATGAAACTAGAAAAAGATGGTATAGAACATAGATTCCGACGTCGCTAAATACATTGTTAAATGAGAGTGAAATAAAAACTCAAGTTTCATAAGTAAAATACAAAATTGAAGCCCTTTGAGCATCAAAACACCAATTTCCTTACAAAAATTAATACTTCATGTTTGAAACTTAGAATTTTTCGAATTCTTTTAACTACTAAACTTACTAGTTGTGAAAGTTTATCCACTCCCTATCGATATAATGTCCTCGATACAATTCATTTTTATTTGAAATTTTAGAATCAATTTCCGTTCTGCATACTCATTCCTTCAGGATTGAAAATATCAGATATTTTTGTCACTTGTATTGAATAAAAAAGTTTCAAGTCAGCTTCTTTCTCTAAATCTGTTCTAACTGTGTACAGAAAAGGTTTGCTAGATTTCAGATCGAGAATTCAACGGCTATTGTTCGAGTCCAATCTCAATTTTTCACCATCAAAAATCAACAAGATATTTTCAAAATAGAGGGAGAATACCATTTATCATGAGATAGTCATTAGAAGAGTTTATGCAGCAATGATAGTTATATTCTCGTATGAAATATTTAATTACTGACCTCGATTGAACATTGTCGTGAAACGTCATCATTTTTATTAGGATTTGTGAATTCATTGTCTGCCATTCAAATGAGACAAGAAATAGTGATCGTTTTGTTTGAATCTGTCTGCTTGCTTAAAACAGACTGTATGCCAGAGAATTTCTTTGTTCTTTTACATTTTATGTTTTTACTGTCACTTATGGTTTTTGACTATGTAAATTAAAAAGAAAAGAAAAATTCTCAAACAAGTTTGTTTGCTTTTCCACATCGTGAAGCATAAGAAATTATTTCTTTTCTACCAATCATCACATATGACAAAGACAAAGGAAAATACACCATGTGACACATAAGAAGTATTTTTAAATTCATATTCAAATAATGACTCAATCTTCTAAGGCATATTGATGCAATAGAAAAAAAAAAAAGTTTTTTATGGGATATAATTTTGAAAAAGCTTACAGAACGCAAATTTTGATAGCTCGTGAATGTTAAGAATCAAAAACAAGACCTTATGATCAATATAGGCATTTGTAAATAAATCTTTTGAAATATTCTCTCTGATATTGATGAATACAGAATAAAAAAGGAAAAAAAAAGCGTTGAAATGCGTATTATGTATCCTCTGTATATAACAATACATAAAAATTTATTCATTGCAACATCCATAGATTTACGAAAGCTTTGATCGGGTGATGAAGATGTACGATATGTCTCCCATATGAATGTGAGTGTAGATAAAGAGAAGATTCACATCCGAATTCGATTATTGTTGATCTAGTCAGACTATTTCGAATTCTTCATGTTAAGAACACAGAAAAAAAACTTTAACAACAGACTTGTTTCTACTTTGAACAATGTTCGAAATATCTTCGAAGAGTTTCTTTACTTTTGACCACCAACATATAGAGAAAGTAAGCAAGCAAAAAGTATTGATTTATCGAATTTTGTCATTAGAAATAATTTAGAGCACGTGAAAGAGCCATGAATAATAAAAGATTTTCAAACTGATATCTATAGTTTTGTACGGACAAACAACGAGTTTTTTCATTTTAAAATAAAGAGCATCTTCTTTAAAATAGTCTTCCTGATCAAAACATATTCCACACTTTCCTCTTTCTATTCCCTTGAATCACCTTTTCTTCCCAGTTTTGTAAAGCATCGAATCAATTTGTCTAATACTATGAGGATTAATGCTTTTGAACAGAAGTACATGAATTGATAAATAAACAATTTTTAGTTTCATGACTATTTGAGAAAAATATTTCATAATAATAAGAGATAACCGGAGAACTTACCAAGAAATGAAATAAAATGGAATTTGATATATTGTTTGCTAATTGGAGAAATTTGAGAGTGTAAGTAGTTCGAGTAATTGTTTTGTTCTTATTTTCATGCCATTCATATGCATTCTTGACAATTAAAGCGAAAAACTTAGTCGTTTTTCTTCGTCAGCGATATTCTCTTCATTTTTTAGCTCATGTGTTTTCTGTATTTTTCCTTAGAGATGATATTGGGATTTTTCTTAAAGTTAATAACTCATCTCATCTTATTCATTTTTTGATCTTTTCTTACAGCTAATTTCTTGTCATAAGCATTGATCTTAAATACTCTTGATAAGAAGAATTTAAGCATGAATGCGAAACGTTTTGAGACGTAGTTTTGATTGATAAATATTGAAGTAAACCCCAATTTAAGATTGATCTTATATTAAACTATATGAAGAGTAGTGAAATTTCTATTTAGTGTTTTGTATACATTATAGACTAGAGTTTAAAATCAGCTTTCTTCTGCTATCTGTGGCAACAAAAATATATTTTAGAGGACATCATATTGACTAAGTAATTTATATGAATGATTGAAATAAATGATATTTGGATAATAAATAGTACATTGAGATAGTGAAAAAACTCCATTTTCTTTCGATTGAAACAATTTATTTCTAGGCGAATTGTGATTATATTCCGACAAAACTAGAATTCTAATTTTGTTAAAAGAAAATCAAATCTTAGTTGTATTCGAAATAAATTTAGAATTTAAGCATAACATATACTTAAAGGTAAACATATGAAGCATACTGATTCCTTTCAAAAGTAATTATCTTACAAGGGAGCATGTCTAAATATGAGTCTTTGTTTTAAATTGACCTTATGTTAGTTTCTAGAGCTCAAGGAGCTGACTACGCTGGTATGAAGTGTTCTTCATCCTACAATGTTTTTGATAAATTAGATCGATCTTCAATACAAAAAAAAACGTGTAAGTTGTTGTGTAAGCTTAGTTCTTAGTATGGAGAACTACAACACTGGATGCATCTTAGTTGACAGTACATATCCAAGTAATGAGCATAAATACAAATCACACAATCTTTCAAAACTATCGAAGATTCTCTTGACGTTCTACGTTCAAATTGTAGTTATTGAGTCTTGTCAGATGTCTCGCCTTCAATAGTCCGTATTCTATTTGGTTGTTCTCTTTGATGTTTACGTGAACAATGCAGTAAATAAGTCAAATAATTGACATATGACCAAAATATATTTGTTTTATAATCTAGATAGATTTTGAAAAACTAGTTGAATTTTGTACGTCTGTCTGATAAATCAAAATCGAAAGAATGAAAGTATTTACATAACTAGAACTAGTTTTTAGGTTGATTACTTGAATATGTGCAGCCAACTAAAACGTATTGACTGTTAAAGTATTCGTTACTTAAAACCAAACTAATACATAAATTAAAATCTCTGAAATAATAATTTATACTCAATTTTTTCAGAGTTGCGATCGATCTAAATTCTCAAATTGAATGCTCAATACAATTGACATTAAAAAGTTGATCATCATTCTGAAAGTTGACATTGTAAAAACGAAACAGTCTTGTTTAATACTTCATGCAATTCTTCAATTTACTATTTATTGCTTGTAATTAAAATGGCATTCGAAAAAATTTCATGTAAAAAACAATACAAATTATCTTCTTATCCGTAAATGAAATTTTTATTTTTGAAGACGCTAGATCTTATCTTTTCTTTGTATCATTACACATCGATGTAGTTTTCGATATTGCGGCCAATAATCAGTTGCTTCATAATGTTGTGTTGTTCATTCATTGCATAAACAAACATCAATTTTTCTTTGGTATGCGAATGCTCACCAATAACCGGATGATTCACTGGTACATTAATTTCTTTAGCTTTTATGAATTTCTTCATATCGACATGATCAAGTTTAATTGAATATTGATATGATTGTGCTAATAAATGTTCACCGGTAAGTTTATTGGGAATCTATTTCATTCCATCCAATAATCCTTGTTTATAAACTTCAACCATGTTTTCCCATAGTGTATCTCCACCACCTTGTTTTGGTATGTTTTTGGCATAGAGCATATCAATAGTTGGTAGATCAGTTGAACACGTAACATCCGTATGCCATACATCGAAATCGGGTTTTTTTTTATCTGGATCAAAATCTAGGCCAAATTCTAGAACACCGGCTCCTGGACACTGCCGCATGTGAATAAATCGGATGTACATATAGATCAGCAAATTGCAAGGCAAAATCACGTTGTTGTTCTGATGTTAAACTTTGATAGCGAAAGAAGAACTCGTGGTGTTTGTAAAGTACGTTGTTTAACGCTTTTTTCTGATTCCAAATCAACGGTTTTGATAAATCAAAGTTATATGAACTATAGCACCGATAGTAGGTGTTAACACTTTGATGTTGAATTGTTGACTAATAACTATATTGTATTTCAATGATTGTTGTTGTTTTCTTATTTCAAAGGAGCAGGGTGTGTGTATAGATGTGAATATGAGGGTGCTGGAGAATAAAAGACCCGGACTTATACTCACACCCTCTCACTTATAATTTCATGCATGTTTCAAGCAATGAAATCACGACAAATCATGATTAGGTTTCACAGACAGGATGTAGGCATGAATATAATGTGTATGAAGAGACCAGGCTAAACCATGCCTACGCCCTAACAATGTTCAAAAAAACCAGCCTCCAACGAGTATCTTGATGAGCCACCTCTTGCTTTATAACATTCTGATTGCACAAAAACAAAAAGAACAAAGCTTTCTATTTTTTTGTCATTTAAACTGATGCAATCAAGGAATTGCAATAAAGTTTGATGCTTGTCTGACGCTAACCTTTATCATGAAAGTAATTAAATGTTCTTTCAAGGACAGCATATCGCATCAGTCTACAAATATAATAATCCTATCTTTACTTTGAGTTTTAGCAGTAAAAATGCTCCAAGCCACTTGATTTTATGAGACTTAATTTGATGTGCTCTCTAGAAGTATATTTGGAGATTGATTTTTTATTCGTACTGTGGTATTCAGAGTTCTTAAGAGACTTACCTTTGTTTGAAATAGTTTTCATTGTAGAATTTATCTTTCATCCTTGGGAATTGCACCAACAGATAGAGTTCGCTGCGCTCGTTCTATACCATATATATTTATATATATGAAATAGGGAGTATCCAGTTGTGAAGAAATGATACGAGACAGATGTATATGTTCATTATATTTGGATGAACTTGTCTTTTAGTATCGTTACGTGCTAACATCAATCAAGGACGAGAGAAAGATAGGAACTGAATAATTAATTAGCTGTACTTAATATATTTCTGCAATGAAGTTAGCAAAACCACGAACTAAAATAGTGAGCTTGCAGTCTTTGCTTATATCTTTGTCGAGAAAAAATTACTAAACTATCGAAACTAATAACAGACCGTCGGGCGAATATTGATCAAAGCTGTATCAACAAAATAAAATACCTTTCGCGATCAAACCATCAACGTCATTTCGATTACGCTCTTATTAAAACAAGGATAGATTAAAAAGAATTGCCAGTATAAGT